ACATAAACATGCATTTACAAATAAGTCTTCTAATTAACAAATCATTATTTGTGTAATTATTAGATTACAACAAATGATTAATAATTGATTATTAATGTAAAATAATATCTTTAATACAGTAGTAAAGTAAACAACATTAATCTATTTCCTCAAATAAATAAATATTAACAAAATTTAATAGGTAAATAGTTCACTTTAATTTCCAGACATAAATTACCTAAACATACATTTAGGCTTGCAAATAAAAGTATTATAATTAACAAATTAATATTTGTATAATTATCAAATTATAATAAATTATTAATATTGTATTCATATTAATGCAAAATTATTAGATCTATGATAAACTTATCTTTTTCCAAAAATAAATAAATACTAACAAAATTTAAAAGAATAATAACTAAATAATAGGCAAATAAAGTTAAGTATAAATTCCAGAATAAATGCACATAAATTACCTAAAATTATGCATTTAGTTTTGCAAATAAGTCTTATTAACAAATCATTATTTGTATAATTATCACATTATAATAAATTGTTAATATTAGTGAACAAAAGATTATTATATTTATTACAATTGAAAGAAAATTAAACAATTTAATTTATATTAACAAAAGAAACTCAGTTTTTTTTAAACATTTATTTAAAGTCATATTTAATGTTTCTAATATGCAGGGCATTAGTAATGGTATATAATTGGTTAAAACTACTGTTTAAACTAAACATTACATGACATTCATAATTATATTTTACTATATAATAAAATATAGGATTTTTTTACAGTGAAAGAGGATATTAAACAGAATATGTCTTTAGAATAACATGCACTAGTGAATCATTCACAATAAGACCAGGAATATGAATTTGGAAATTAAATAGAGTTAATCTGATTATAGAGTATAAAAGTTTATCTGCAGTGCATGAATTATGGATTTGTTTGTAAATGTGTATTTCTTGTAGGGCTGCCCCCTGATAGTCGAAGAACCGTTAGTCGACGAGAAGAGGCTTGGTCGACCAAAATTTTATTAGTCGCAGAAAAAAAAAAAAAAAAATCCACAAATTTGATGATAACTATGATAAATGTAGCTATAATGATAATTTTAACGATAACTATGATAAACGTAGCTATAATGACAATTTTAACGATAACTATGACAAATGTAACTATAATGGCAAATTGAAAGATGACTATCATAAACGTAACTATAATGACACAGGCGAAGTCACATTGGTCATACAGATAAAAGTAATGCATCTTTCAAATCTGTAAAGATTCAAGATTTTTATTTGTCACATACATGGTTATATAAAGAATATATGACCAGCAGTGAAATGTAAGTCAGGTCCGCTCCATGGACAGTGCAATTATTAAAGAATACAAACACAAAAGAATTATATATAAATATAGATATGGGAAAAAATAAACAAAATGCGCAGGACAGTATACTGTAGACTTAATAAATATTAAGGTGAGCAGGAATGTACAAGAGAAGAATGTGCAAACAGGTTGTACAGGGTAGGTACATAGAACAAGACTACGTTTATTTGTTTGCACTCACAATAACAACGAAACATTGCGCTTTTGTAAAATAATGCCGTCTGCCGTCTCGGTCTCCGTGAACAAGCTTTATGCGTGTGCTTGAGCGCTTATTAGGCTTTGTAAGCAATTTAAGTCTCATTATAATGATTTAAATTGTTTATTAATAAATGTGAGATTAGTCGACTAATGCTTAAAATGAACGACTACTAGTCGACCAGAAAAATCTTTAGTCGAGGGCAGCCCTAATTTCCTGTTTCTCGTCATCCGTGGCTCTCACAGGTGTCCGTTTCATCTATTAACGTGTTACTTGTCGTAATTATTATGCAGCTCCGAACCTGCGTTCAGACAGCGAGAGCGATTTCTCCCCCTCGAACTCTGAGGATGATGATGATGCTGAAGAACACGAGGGGAAGAGGGTCGACCAGCCCAAAACACCCAGTAAAAACACGTCCGCTGCTGCGCTCTATAAGACGCCCAGTAAGAAGGGCAAGAAAGCAGCAGAGGTGAGAACCTGTTTCTTGCACTTAAAACACCTTAGCAACCACCCTCAACACCCTAGCAACCTGTAAGTCAGTAAGTAATATAATAACAGTAACTGTAGTAACTACTATATTAAATATTATAATAAATGTAATGATAACAAAAGCTGTAATGATAAATGAAACTTATAAAATGATAACTATAATAATAACAGTAACTATAATGACAAATTTAAGGATAACTATCATAAACGTAGCTATAATGACAAATTTAACAATAACTATCAAGAACTAAACTGACAAATTTAATGTTAACTATGACAAACGTAGCTATAATGAAAATTTAACGACAACTATTATAAATGTCGCTATAATGATAAATTTAACGATAACTATGACAAACGTAGCTATAATGATAAATTTAACAATAACTGACAAGCGTAACTATGATAAATTGAAATATAACTCATAAATCTAATGACAAATTTAACGTTAACTATGGCAAACGTAGCAATAATGACCAATTTGATGATAACTATGATAAATGTAGCTATAAAGACAATTTTAACGATAACAATGATAAACGTAACTATAATGACAATTTTAACGATAATTATGATAAACGTAGCCATAATGACAATTTTAACGATAACTATCATAAACGTTACTATAATGACAATTTAACGTTAACTGACAAACGTAGCTATTATAAGAAATTTTACGTTAACTGTGATAAACGTAGCCATAATGACAAATTTAATGATAACTATGATAAATGTAGCTGTAATGACAAATTTAATGATAACTATGATAAATGTAGCTGTAATGACAATTTTAACGATAACTATGATAAATGTAGCTGTAATGACAATTTTAACGATAACTATGATAAAAGTAGCTGTAATGACAAATGTAACTATAATGGCAAATTGAAAGATAACGATCATAAACGTAACTATAATGACAAATTTAACGTTAACTGACAAACGTAGCTATTATAAGAAATTTTACGTTAACTGTGATAAACAGCTATAATGACAAATTTAATGATAACTATGATAAATATAGCTATAATGACAAATTTAACAATAACTGACAAATGTAACTATAATGGCAAATTGAAAGATAAATATCATAATCGTAACTATAATGATAAATTTAACGTTAACTGACAAACATACCGTAGCTATTATAAGAAATTTAACGATAACTGATAAACAGCTATAATGACAAATTTAACAGTGACAGATGAATTTAGCTGTAATGACCAATTTAACGATAACGTGATAAATGCTACTATAATGATAAACATAAATGTTAAACAACCTACAATGTAATTTTTTATTTTTTTTTAAGTTGTAAATAAAACAAATTATTAGGGCTGCCCCCTAATAGTCGGCTAACCATTAGTTGACGAGAAGAGACTTGGTTGGCCAAATTTTTTTATTAGTCGCTAGTTGAGGAAAAACCAACAAAAAATCCAC